ACTACCCGCTTTTGGCTCTATTTTCAGGGCTCTGTAAAAATTATAAATAATCGAGATACAGTTTCGGGAGTCGGGACTTTTTTTACGCAAATTCATTGATCTTTTCAAATCTTTTTTCAAATTTCCAAAATTTTTAAAATTTTCCGAGATATTAAGAAAAAACTAAAGCCCCAATTTTTTTCACTTAATTGTTTATAACTTTTGTAATTTTTATCGGCCCATTTTCGGACCTTTTCTTAAACTTTCTAGGCAAAAATACGAATCGAATGACACCTTGGTCGTAATTTTTGGACAGGGCTGAAAAATGTCACCAAAAAGAGCTAAATCGAGTACATGTGAACCAGACTAGTAGGATAATACAAAAATATGCATGTGAGAAGATTTACTGAAATAATTCTTACATAGAAGCTAGAATTTAGTTGTGAATAACTTGGTAACGTAACGTCACTCAACTATCAGAATTGGTGGAGACATAAAGTACCACAAGAGAAGACCAAATATGCATAAAGAGCGAGAATCAAGTAAGTCGTGTTGCTTGATTCTGTGGTTTTGCAGTAGACTTGCAAAAGAGGAAACGAAAATCTAGAAAATACTGGGTACACCCATATAATGTCTAATGTTAAACACAATTCGGCAGTGGTTTTCCGTGAGCTCTATCAACATGAACAGAAATTTAGAGAGTTTTATAAAATGAGCATCTGTCAGAAAGGTATCAATCTGTCTCTTCTTCATTCTATTGTTGACATTAAATTCTCCGGTAATGATAGCATATTTACAGAGACGTTCTTTTGTGAAAATGGCCTCTTCAATACGAGCTGAAGTACACTAAAACAATGTGCAGTTTGTCATCTAGGAAACTGACTGTGAAGTGTATGCATTCATTTGAATGATTGTTTATGGCTGGAGGATTTGCTCGTGTGGTTTTAGTCGGGGTGTGTTTGGACTAGAGAACTCTCTCTGGTCCGGTTATGTAATTGATCACCGTTTAGCTGTATAACTGACCAATCTCTATATGATGTGTTTGAGTCATGTTTGATCTTTGCTTCCACAAACAATTAGCAATATATAGGTATTCTTCCGTTGTTCCATTGTTCCGTTGTTGTAAATTTGGTGTATAAATCATGTTTGTGTTAGACTCAAAATCTGCTGATTTAAGTGGGTATAAAAACTCCTCCAATCGTACTTTGAAGACGGATTTATCACTATTCACAGTTGTAATGATATGGGTATAGTAGCAGAGTAATTTTGTGAAGCAGTGATCTCATCCTATCATGAGAACTGCCCACTGAAGAATCAAAGAGATAACCATAACTCTTCTTGGCGAGGCAAAAGCCTTGAAAAACAAAGAAGAGTTCGACAATTATTCAATCGAGCTAAATTATAAAATGATTCTAACGTCATACAAGAAGGAAATTAGAAAGCTAAAACGGGAGTCGTGGAGTAAGTTCTGTGAGAGTATCTCAGATTCACCTTTCAGCACACAAAATTTTATCTAGAGAGCCGACTACTGAAATTAGGTCGCTTAAACGACCTCTAGTAAAGAAACGTAAGAGCTTTTGATATAAAACTACTTTCCTGGAAATCTGACTCTTGATAACAACATAGCTCCCATCTTCAAAGGCGATAAACGCCCAAAAAAGAACGATTGGGAGGTCGTCAAGAAGAATATCACAGCACCGGGAGCTGACTGGGCTATCAAGTCGTTTCAGCCCTCCTGAAGAGGACGGTATATTTCCAGCTCTTCTTTAAAACTGGAAATAATTTTACCTATTCTCATAAAATTGTATAGAGCTAGTCTGGCGTGGTACCCTAGCTTGTCATCTTAGAAAAAGTTGTACACAAAGCCAGACTGTCTCTATGGACTTGTCGAAGGATTTGTGGTTGAACTTGGGGTTTAGGTTCCAAACAAATCGATTAGATTTATGTGATGATTGTCAGACCAATGATCACTTATGGTGCAACTGCCTGGTGACCGAAGGCTTTACAGAAAATGGCTCAGGCGAAGCTCTCTGGCTTACAGAGACAGGCGTGTCTAGCCATTAGTGGTGCCATCAGTATCACACCGTCAGCGGCCATGAAGATCCCTCTAGATCTACCTCCTCTCCACATTTTTCTAGAGAGAGAGAGGGTAGATGGACTGCATACAGACTTGTGCACATTGCCAAATGCAGAAATCAATCCAATGCAGATTGCAACAGACTGTTGGCTGACATTGAAAGTCACAGTACTGTTCCTGAGCAGAGAGGACTGGATCCTCCGGGAAAAGGAATTGAGAGCAGATAGTTGTTTGTTCAACTATCTGCTCGAATGGATTAAAAACACCTTTCAGTTCTGGTGTAGGTGTTTTCAGTCGCAGACCCAGGACAGAGATATCAACCTGCCTAGGAACCTATGCGACTGTATTTCAAGCGGAAATTCACGCTATCGAATTGTGTGCTGAAAGATTGAAAGAATCCAACCTCATACACAAGTCAATAAAAATATTCTCGGACAGTCAAGCGGCGTTGGAAGCTCTTACCTCCTACCGAGTGACTTCTAAATTGGTAGTAAATTGCCAAAAACGACTGTCCTCGCTAGGAAGACTTGACAGATTGTCTCTGGTCTCGATTCCTGGCCATACTGGTCTGGAAGGCAATGAGTCTGCTGACTCCCTTGCAAAGGAGGGTGCTGCAAGCAGCTGCATCGAACCATCGCTTTAGGCTCCGCCAAATAAAGATTGAACACCTGGATGGCAAGAAGTTGTACAGACTTCTGGCAGAAACTTCCAGGATTGGCTTACTCCAAGGCGTTTGTTCACCCTTCAATACTTGATACCGAACAGTTGTTGGACTACAGTAGGGATGAATTAAGATGTCTAGCAGGCCTTCTTACAGGTCACCGTCATTTGAGTCATCATATGCAGAGACTGGGACTGTCGGAAGAAAACGATGAAACAGCAGAGCACATACTTTGTGTCTGCCCCGCTGGGGACCGAATCAGATTTTTAGAGTTCGTAAGATCCGTACTCTTACCATCTGACCTGAAAGACCACTCACCACACAAACTAATCGGTTTCGTTTGGAAACTGGGCTTATTGGATCGAATGTGAATAGTTGTGAGCCACAATTAACCCTTGCGGCTTGCGGTGGAGGGTCGAATAGACCCACTCACTTTGGACCTAACCAGATCTAAGCTAGATTCATTTTACGCCGTTCGTTCCATTTCTAACCTTCGACATATCGCTATGAAAGATTTAATTCTTTGCTTCATGTTTATTGAAAAAAATAAAAAATGCATTCAATTAATATGTGTAATACCTGTTTCCCGTTTCACAGTTAGCCAATTTAATGTTTTTTTTTTCAGAGATCTAAGGGGCAATAAAATATCTAGAATTGACATCACGAGTTTGGAACCGTTAAAGAACCTTGCTATTTTGTAAGTAAATTAGTCGGATGTGCAGTGTCATCATTTTTGTAAAGATTGATTACCTAAATACACATATCCTCAATTTTTTTACAGATATCTTCAAAATAATCAAATTACCCACCTGAAATCCTACAGTTTTCCGCAAATGTCTCTCCAACAGTTGTCTCTGATGGAAAACAAAATTCAGAAGATAGATATAGCTGCTTTCAGCCATTTGATCCACTTGAAGAGTTTGTGAGTAACATAAATAATGACACTCAGTTATTTCCAAAAATTTTCCACTGTTCAGCTGATTTATTATCTGATTCTACAGTTAGCAATTAATTAATCATAACTTTGAAGACTAGGCTGGTGATTAGGTGAAGTGATTGCATTTTGATATTGAGTATCTATTTTGTTAGTTATAGATAAAATGAAAGAATTGTTATATATTATAGAATACAGGGTGTTTCAAATTCGATCCTCGCCATTGGGATCTCGGAAAGTATGAGAGATACGAAGATGATTGAATTGAGACAAAGTTACGCATTCACTTGACTAACAATATGCCGTTGTAAAAGTTCTGAAATTCCGAGTATATTCGGAAAAAACAGAAATTTTGGAAAATGGTTTCTATTTTTTCTGACATTATTTTTTGAAGGATTCGAAAATGGATTGCATTTACCCATTGCCAAAGTTTAACTTTTCAATGATGTATCATAAGTTGCCATTCTTCTTCGAAAAATTGTAGATATTGAAAAAAAACGGCAGGTAAAAGCGCAACTTTGCCCTAATTTAACCATCACCGTATCTCTCATAGTTTCCGAGATCCCAATGGTGAGGATCGAATTTGAAACACCCTGTATAGATGAAATTAAATTTTGAAATTTGGCACATTTTTAAAGAAAATGTGTACATTGAAATGAAAAATAGCGCTTCCTATCTTTGAATTTGAATTAAACCAAGTATGTGTGAGATATCATTGAAATCATTTATTTGTTTGAAAAACCTATTGATGTGTGGAATATAATATCGCTACCGCTTCTCTGGGTGAAGCGCATCCAAAACGTCAACTTTTCCATGACTCTGACGCATAAATCAGATCTAATTTGACGATAGCATGGGTTATGTTGACTTTGAGGACCACCGTTGTTTGTGGCTCATTCACATACACCTGCGACTCAAGAAAACCCCACAAGAAAAAGACTAATGGGTCAAATCGCTGGCCAAAAAAGTTGGTAATCATCTACCTATAGTATTCGCCGTTGTCAGCGCCGTTCTCAGAGAAATATCAACCAAATTGTGGTCTGCGAAAGGCCAAATTCTTGTGAGCCACATGAAATCGACTGCCTTGGATTCTCCTGCACACTTTCACAGACAGCGGCGATGTTTTCGGCAGATCTTGTGTTTCGTCAAACAAGCGCGCGCTACTTTGCCCGAACAGAACACCCATTTTGATGAAACAAATTTATTATTTGCTGTTGTTGATAGTTAGGGTCACAAGATCCTTTATTGGAAATTCTGTCGAAGGGCATCGAAAATTATGATCCAGGGCTCATTCGATTCAGAACGACCTTTAGCAACTTTTTAAAAAATCTCAAGAGAGGCTCAAAAATATTGCAAAAGTTATAAACAATTTAGTTAAAAGGGGGGTTTAGTTTTTTGCAAATATTTCGGAAAATATCAAAGATATCCAAAATTTGAAGAAAGATGCTTAAAGAAGAGAAAATTTCCTGAAATAACACATGGTTGTTTTTGTTTTTTTAATAGTTTGGTAGTTGATATGTTTAAAACAAATTGTTTATTGAATAAATAAAGAGAATATAAATCAAAAAAAGTTTTTCTTCGGAATATCAAAGAGAATAGAGCTAAAAATTATGAAAAATCATTTTGATGTAAATTTAGATGATAAAAATACGAATAAATTTGGATTTTGAGAAAAACAGTTTTTTTTTCATGACTTTGATTGAATTTTTCACTTTTTACCGTTTTGGATTATCAATAACAAAGTGCAAAATCAATTTTTTTTAATTTTTCCAACGGAAATCTTCTTCGAAGGATTTCAAAAAAAGCTTCAAGAAGTGAACAAAATTTGAGGTTTTTAGTTTAAAAATTATCTGGATTTTTTATGTAAATTTAAAACTTATAACAATTAGTGACTTAACTGGAGACACCCTACATTTTGTTTCATAAGAGAGAGGACATTGTTAGATCAAGATCTTCAGATGATGTGGTGCTGCAGGTTTTTCCGGGTTTTCCTCTAGCTGAAAAAACAAATGCGCCACTGGAATCAATGAAGTCGCCCCAGAGCGCCAATTAAATTTTATTGTTGTTTTCATTTTATTTTTATCGTTGTTACTTAACTGAAGTATATCTAATGAAATAATTACGAAAAAAATTTTCCATGGATTTTTGTTTATTCAAGTGTCTATAAGGTATGAGAATTTTTGTTTCTTTCAAAGGTCAGTATCGGTCAATGCGTGCGGGACGCGCACGCATCCTTAAGGATTTCTTTTCAAATTTCGGACATCTTTAATATTTTCCGAGATATTTGCAGAAAACTAATCCCCCTCTCATTTTTTACTAAATTGTTTATAACTTTTGCAATATTTTTAAGCCCCTCTTGAGATTTTTTAAAAAGTTGCTAGAGGTCATTCCGAATCGAATGAGCCCTGGATCATAATTTTCGGTGGCCTTGAACAGAAGTGCCAAAAAAGGAACTTGTGATCCAGACAACGAGTTCTTGAGATCGACGCGAAATCGACTGTCTTGGATTCTTCTGCACACTCTTACAGAAAGTGGCGATGTTTTCTGTTGATCTTGTGTTTCGTCTACGTACTGGTGACGATCTATTGTTCAATGAACCAATGGACACTAATAGTCTTCATGGTAGGACGATTATGGCGATCGTAAAATTGGCGAGCGCGCGGTACATGGCACGAACAGAAAATTCATTATGATACAACAATTTCATTATTTGCACGTGTTGTTGAATGCTGTATCTGTCCATAGTTATTTGCCAAAACAGACTGAATAAATGACAAATAATTTAACATTTGTTTGAAGGTGATTGACAATGTTTCATGATTGATTCCACTAGTTCGAAGCATTGTCTATGATTTTAAATCCCCGAAACAACTGAAAAAGAAGAATTAAAAATAAATAGCTGAAACTAACAAGTATATTAAGCAAAAATAACCTAAAATGAAATAATAGTGAAATAAAATACAAGTAAAATTAAAACGATTGAACAAAAAATAAAGAAATACAAATAAATATCAATAGAAGAGTTTCCAAGCCACGTTAGTTCACGATGTTTCGATTGTTAGTATCTACAATCGTCTTCGGGTGACGACTGGACTAATTCCTCCGAGAGATGACTATTTATAGGTCGTTCGAGTACTTTCACTTGTCCCCACTTCCCATTTTTCCGATTCACTGGTTCAGTGGGAGATGACCGTTTGGCGGGAGTTGGCCATTTTTCGCTTGATGATGGGTTTCCATTTGTTGCGTATTTCTACGCTAGCTTGGCTGAATACGTTGTTGGACAGCATGTATGCGGCTTCCTTGAATTTTCTCCTGAACCAATGTTCCTCTCTGTGTATGATCTCAGCTTGGGACCACTCGATGTTGTGTTGATGGGTCCAAACATGGTCTGCTATTCCTGATTTGCTGGTTTCCCCTCGCCGGGTATGTTTTTTGTTCTCAGCAATGCGAACATTTAACGGCCTCTTAGTTCCACCAATATAGGATTTTCCGCACTCACAGGATATTCGGTAAATGCAATTCTTGGAATCGCAGTCCGCGTTTGGTGGCCTGGTTTTCGTGAGGCTGCTACGGATAGTGTTACCAGATCTGAAGCAGGTTCTGATGTTGTACTTGGAACCAATTCTTCTTATCCTCCCCGATAATCCTCTGATTTAGAGAAGTGCAAGCACTAGTTGTGACGGCTTCTCTTCCTTGCGAGGCTCCTGCTGTCTTTTAGCCAAAGTCTTTTCTACGATCGCTTTGGAGTAGCCATTCCGTTGAATATCATTTTTGATGATGTCTAGTTCCTTCTCGAGACCTTCCCTAGTATTACAGAGCCCAAAAGCACGGTCTAATAGAGTCTTGATGATTCCTCTTTTAGTTGATTGATGATGGTTGGATTCGTGGTTCAGATACTGTCCCGTGTGAGTGTGTTTTCGGTATACAGTTAGTGTCGGTCCTCTTCACCAAAACGTCTAAGAATGGCAATTCGTTGTGGATTTATATTTATTTGTATTTCTTTATTTTTTGTTCAATCGTTCTAATTTTACTTGTATTTTATTTCACTATTATTTCATTTCAGGTTATTTTTGCTTGATATAATTGTTAGTTTCAGCTATTTATTTTCAATTCTTCTTTTTCAGTTGTTTCAGGGATTTCAAAACATTTTACATATTAGACAATGGAAGTCCGAACTAGTGAAACTAATTTGACAGAGGTAGCCTCAACAAGATGGCCGTTATCAATAATTGTAAAAGTTTGGGAGTCCCTATTGGAAGACCCTGTATTTTATGCAAATAGGCATGCTAATCTAATGGTTTATACGCTTTTCAGTTATTCTGTGTGATGAAATAATATTTATTTTTCACAGGTTCCTTTCCAACAACAAATTAACGCTTGTGAAAAATAGCACTTTTTCAAATCTGAAAAAACTGGAAGCACTGTAAGCTATGTGAATTGATTCATTCAACAGTTGTTTTCATTACCATCATGTTTTTCAGAACATTGAACAACAACTTCATCAAGACCATCGAGCACGGAGTTTTCAAAGATGTAACCAACCTGCAATCACTGTAAGATAATATATTTTCTCAATAAATTTGTAGATTGGAAATCATCGAATTGAATAATGAATGTTGTATCTCGCTTTCAAAATATGAGTTTTTGAAAAATTATTTATTTTGAAAATGAAAAACAGTACTGTATTCTCTTGAGTTACAATTAAACGGAAATTAACTATGAACGTACTTTAATGTACTTGTAATGCACTGTTTGGAACCTTTGGTGTAGTAATGAATATTACTGGAGTTCAATCCCAACACCAAACCGTTATTTTCAACACCTTAACATGTGTTTCGATCACCAAGTGATCATCTTCAAGATGAGAGTTGAACTGTTCAATCTTTCTTTCGAAGATGATCATATATTTTCTCCAACCCTTTTTGTATTGTACATCAAAGACTTATTGGAAAAAATCACGAATCCAATGTATTGCTTTGCTGACGACAGCACACTTGTCTCGTCATTCCATTTGGATTCCAGGAAATCGGTTATGGAGACACATCTTCTCCGGCAGCAGGAGGTTGCACATCTTAATGAGGATCTAGAGGTGATTTCGGATTGGTGTAAAAGTAACCAGGTTCAATTCAATGCCACGAAAATTCAGGCATCGATTTTCTCCAAGAAGATAAATGTCTACGAACCGGATATAATAATGTCAGGCCAAACAATTCCGCTTTCTGCTTCGTTGAATTTTTTGTGGTTTGAAATGGACACCAATACAGGGCTTCTCATGATGAACGTTAATTAGCCGTTTCTAACAAACAATTCAACGGATCAACCTGAAAATTTCACAGTAGGCATAAATCAATATGACCTACACGCCTGAAATATTTCAGACGAAGCGGCGTTGTTGCTTCTACTATAAAGTAGCGGCTTCTTTGATTTTTCAAATGGAACACCCCGTATATAATATCATATTAATGATAGCTACCAATTATAATAGAATAATGTCAAGATTAGGTTACAGTAATGAAGATTTCTTGAATTTATTAATAATTTATAGTGAGTGCAATAGAATTGCAAGTAGAACATGCCGAGTATTTCATGAAAGATATCCACAACTTCCGAAGCCGAATAATAATGTGATAAATCGACTACTACTAAAAAACTGTAGGTTGAATGAAACCTTCCGTCCAAAAATCATTCGTAAGAAGACTAAAGTGGATGATGATGACAATGGTATAACAGTTTTGGGATACTTTCATGCATTTCCAAATGCTTCTCTGCACGAGGCTGCAAGAGAGATAGGTATACCCTACGTGACAATTTGTCGAATTATTAATAAGCATAAATGGCATCCCTATGAGTTCTACTGTGTCTAACATTCGAATTTACCTCGTAAAGTGGAATTCTTTGAATGGTTACTTGTCAAGACTCAAGAGAATGAACATTTCCTTGACAATATCATATGGACAGATGAGGCCAAGTTCACAAAAAATGGAGTTTTCAATAGACACAACAGTCATTATTGGGCGCCAGAAAATCCCCATGTTGTCCGCCAAAGGGGTTTTCAAGAAAGATGGCAATTCAATGTAAGTATTTTGTGCCATAAAGAATGAGTCAATTTTTTATATCGAGTTTTATGATGATAATTTGAATGCATCAAAATATGAAGATTTACTGAGGAATGGAATTCAAATGATTTCAAATAATAGACCAGGAAGAGAACGTGTATGGTACCAAATGGTACCACCCCATAATTCTCATTCAGTCAGCGAAGCTTTAACCGAAATCTTCGAAGACAGATGGATTGGTAATAATGGACCTTTTCGTTGGCCTCCTAGAACACCAGATGGTAATCCATTAGATTATTTCGTGTGGGGTTTCATTAAAAATATGGTTTACTCTACTCCAATAACAACAATGGAATATCTTTCATTGAAATCGAGAGTTACAACTGCTTTCAATAGTTTGACTCCAGACTTGATCAGAAGCGCTACACATGACAATCTTTTGAAGAGATTACATGTTTGTTTAAGTAGAGGTGGAGATATGTTTGAACATATTCTGAAATACACTGACGATTTAATTAACTCATTAATTTATGGGTTTATTATTTTCAGTTCGTGTTTCAACGTTAATAAAACTATTGTTTGAAGAGAAATTTCATTCGACGGTTGAGGAGTATTTTAATAATTATCTTTTCATTGTATTATCTGCGACTAATTGAGAAACATCAAACGAAATCTGTTTTACAAAAATGAGTGATGAACAAAGAAACCATGTCAATTTCCGTTTGAAACAGTTTATCTCGAAAACGGTTCAAAATAGAAATAGTATTATCTGAACAAAGTTAATCTAAAATTGGATGTAGAGCTCAAAAATGTTGAAATATACAGGGTGTTCCATTTGAAAAAATTGAGTTCCACTCATTTTTTCATGAGATCAAAGTATCTGCATTTTTTGAAGACCCTGTATGAGGCAAATGAAAATATGACTCGGAGTGAAGATCCTCATAGTATCACTCCACTCCATTTCAAATTTGATCGTTTTAGTGCAAGAGAGTTCAAGATTATCAGCATTTATAAAAGTTCATGTTTGGTAAAAAAAATATCGAAATTAATTTATATCTTCTAAACGGTAATAGATAGGTATAGGGAAATAGTATATGAATTTGTTGACAAAGTGATAATGAATCATAATATGATATTATATACGGGGTGTTCCATTTGAAAAATCAAAGAAGCCGCTACTTTATAGTAGAAGCAACAACGCCGCTTCGTCTAAAATATTTTAGGCGTGTAGGTAGGAATTTTCAGGTTGATCCGTTGAATAGTTTGCCAGAAACGGCTAATTAACGCTCATCATGAAAAGCCCTGTATCTCGCTGGAATTACAAAGGCTGCTTCTCAAAAGCTTGGAATACTGTTCCGAACTGTACACACCTCAGCAACTTTTGATGCTTCATAAAGCTCAGATCACACCTTCTTTGGAGTACTCATGATGCACTGTTTGGAACCTTTGGTGTAGTAATGAATATCACTGGAGTTTTTTCGCAACACCACTTCTTTGGAGTATTGTTCTCATGTATGGAGCTCTGCCCCCAAACATACCCTGAAGTTGCTGGATTCCATCCAGAAAAGATCCATTCGCCTAAATGGAGACGCGAACACCACGTACAACCTTGATAGCCTGGAACATCAAAGAAAGATTGGAGATGTGTCTCTCTTTTATAGATACTTTCACGGAAGGTGTTCAGGTGACTTGGCACATTTGATTCCACCAAGAGCGGTACATATCAGAAATACGCGACGGACTGTGGCTGCTCATGGTTTTGAGGTTCAACTCAGTACACCTCGAACTTCACTGTTTGAGAACTGTTCCATCTGGAGAACTGCGCTCATGTGAAGTAAACTTCCTGAGAACGTTTCTCCAAATGAATTTATTATCCAGCGATTCGAATACAATGTGGATCGCTACTTTCGCACAAGCACCGCTCTGTGAGCGGTGAGAGCTACAGGATTTTCCTGTAGTGCTTGTGTTTTATCTATAAGAAAAACAGTTTTCAATTTTTGGTTCAATACTGAGTGGTTAACTCTCAGGCTTTCTTCGAATTACTCTGATCATTACTGGAGTGCAGGACAGACCACATATTTTCATTATTTGTTCCTTTGAAATTACGACTTTGAATCTTAAAATTTTGACCTCAATCTTGAAATTTCGACTTCAGTCTCGAAATTTCGACTTCAGTCTCGAAATTTCGACTTCAATCCTGAAATTTCGACTACTACACACGAAATTACGAAATTGAAGTAACAATTTCGAGATTCAACTCATTATTCCAAAATAACGAGACTGAAGTCGAAATTTTAAGATTCAAAGTCGCAATTTCCAAGAAACGAATATTAAAAGTATATGACAATCCTGCGCCTCCATAGACCCTGAACTATGAGATCATTTTCTTAACAGATGTTGCTGCAGAGTAGCTAAATGAAGCGACCAATTGATAAGTGAAGAATGCACTTCTTTGAGTGGAAATAAAAAATTATATGTGACAAATATGAAATAATATTCAAGAAATAACATCGTGGCTCGTAACAAAATTCTTCTGACCAATATCAACAGTCAGCAAACCCTCCATTGTCTTATATCTAATTAAACATCATTCTTTTGTCTTACAAGATAGCTCACTATATCATTTTCGTGTCATTCAAAATGTTTATCCTGTAATTTCTTTCGAACAAATCATTTTCAATGTCTGTTCCAAGCGATTTATTCATGAAGCATCTGAAACTTCCTCTTCATCCGATGAAAACCACACTGCCTCCTCCATTTTTCATTTTTAAACGATATGTCATATATAACGACTCTCGATCGAGAAAACTGTGGTCAGATATTCCATTTGGAAAAATAAATTGAGTTCATATCAGTTTAAAAGTCGATATTTTATTTGTCTTTCTCAAACAAGTCGAAGTTTTCTTCACATTAATGATTTATATGCTTTGTAATTTTAGATGTGTTCTTACTCACGATAGTCTGGGTCATGAGATCATTTTTTTGGAACTTCTGTCCAAGGGCACCGAAAATTATGATCCAAGGGCTCATTGAATTCTAAATGACCTCTAGCAGCTTTTTGAAACATTTCAAGAAGGGCTCGAAGAAATTGCAAAAGTTATAAACAATTATAAAAAAAAGAGGGTTTGATTTTCTACAAATATCTCGGAAAGTATTAAAGATATCCGAAATTTGAAAAAAGATCTTTAAAGCGAAAGAAGTAACGTAAAAATAGTCCCACCTCCCGTAACTCTATCACTAATATTAATGATTTTAATTTAGAGGCGAAAATAGCGCTGACCGATACGGACCTTTGAAAAATAAAAATTATTTTAACCGATTAAATATCATTATTGAGAAAAAAATACATGAAAACCTTGATAATATTCAAACTGAAAATCTCAAATATTGTTCACTTCTTGAAGTTTTTCTAGAAAGCCTTCAAAATAGATTCCAGTTGGAAAAATCAAATAGGTTCAATTTTTCACTTTGTTATTAGTAATCAAAGACGTTAAAAACTGAAAAATTCAATAAAAGCAATGAAAACATCTTTTTTAATATTCAAATTTATTTGTGTTTTCATTATTTACATGAAGTTACATGAATATGAGTTTTTATTGAATATTAAAAAAAATTCATTGCTTTGATTGAATTTTTCACTTCGTAACGTCTTTGATTATCAATATCAAAGTGAAAAATCAAAATTTTTCAATTTTTCCAACGGAAATCTTTCTTGGAGGCTTTCAAGAAAAGCTCCAAGAAGTGAACAAAATTTGAGGTTTTCAGTTTTAAAATTATAGTATTTATTCAGACTCTTTATAACTTTTCAATACAAATTATCAGGATTATGTAAATTTGAAACCTGTAAAAATTAGTTGATTAACCAACATATATCTAATGAAATAATCACGGAAAAATTTTTTTCCTATGGATTTTCGTTCATTCAAGTGTCTAGAAAGTATGTGGATTTTTTTCTCAATAATGATAGTTAATGAGTTGAAATATATAATTATTATTAAAACAACGATAAAAATTAAATAAAAACAACAATAAAAATTAATTGGCGCTCCGGGGCGACTTCATTGATTCCAGTGGCGCATTTGCTTTTTCAGCTGCAGGAAAACTCGGAAAAACCTGCAGTACCACATCATTTGAAGATCTTGATGTACTAATGTCCTCTTTCTTATAAAATGAAATGTAGGGTGTCTCCAGAGGCTCCAATAAATTCAATGCATCGCCAGAACACTTCGTGACACGACTATCGTCAAACTTAAACCAGTCCGTTTTTCCTTCGACCAAGGCGTAATAATAACCAAATTCAACGCCAGAACCACAGTGAACAATGACTGCATGAATATTGTAATAGTGGTCTGCTAAGTTGAAATGTTCATCTATTTCGAATCTTCCAAAGAGTTTCTTGCTTCCGTTAGAGGTTGAGTCTGGTTTGAAAATCATCAGTGTTATTATTAGATTGACTGGTGCCTCAGCTATACTTGTTTCCTTATAACAGTCAGTTAGTTTGGCGCATGTTTGACAATACAGTCGATCATCATCTGTTAAAAATTTCATTTTCGGATGATTTAACAACAAGATTTGCACGGACTAGTTATTAATCGTATTAGGAAAAGCTAGATGAAGTTCCATAAGTTTTCGGTACTTCTTGAACATTTACCACGAAGTAAACAAGTGAGGATTTTTCCAGCAAAAGATTTACAAACACGTATTAATGTGTTTGTCTCCATGAAATTATCAAATGTTTCGTCATTTTGTAGTAGGTGAAGGTATTGACTTCATATTCTAGGGTTGTGGAGTATTCCTCAGGAGCTTCAAAATGATGTCACAAGACCCCCTTTCTATCGATTTGTTTTTCTCAGATGGCGCCCAGTCGCCATTTTGGAACATTCATCTGTCAATTTCACTTCAAAATAAAGTATTCATGCATTAATTTCATTATCCCAAATTTCAATTTTTTCAGTTGACCGGTTAAAAAAATAAAAGGGGGGGGCATTGAAGAAATGCACTGTATAAAAGACATTGTAGAAAAGTTTGATGTACCAGTAACTGATGAAGCTAACGTCTAGCGAAACACGCTTTATCATGAAAACTCTATAATTATCATCATGGATAGTGTAGATAATTTCCATCAAGTAATGGGTCAGAATATTCATAACTGCAAGAATGATTTTTATATTTTTTTGGAAACAAAGTTTTTGGCTTTCTAGAAAGTAGTAGAGGGTAGTAGAAAGCCAAAAACTTTCTTTCCTAAAAATTATTCACTCCTAAAAATATAACCCTTTCAAATCAGATTTTTATATTGTTTACATATTGAAAAAAGTTATTAATTGGATGTATGTAGCCATTACTACGTGGTAGAAGGTCATCATGAAAAATGAGAAATAAAATTTCATTCTATAAGGACAATTTCAAACGAATTCAATAAACTTTGCCTGGTTTCGTGATCCAAAATATTTTCAAATGCGGTTTTTTCGATTGGTTGGGAAAGGGATCAAAAATGTTCGTAGATAAACAATTTAGTTTTATGCCAAAGTTTCGGAGTATATTAAATCCATCATCAGGGCTCGAACATTAGTTATCCATGTGAAAAAAAACGTTCAAAATATAATTGTCAGTACAAATGTAAATGATGTACCTATGTTGTCTGACACTTATATTTTGAACGTTTTTTTTGACATGGATAACTAATGTTTGAGCCCTGATGATGGACCAACCGAAACCAATCGAAAAAACTGCTTTTGAATTCAGTAAACTGTATTGTATTGCTTATTGTATTAGTTTGAAAATGTCCTTGTAGGACGAACCTGTATTTACGTTAGTTACGAATACAAGTGGTAAAAAAAAATGAGAAGTATTATTCCTCATTTTTCATTAAGAAGTAATCCAAAGTATAGCTGGTTTTTAATCAACAAAATAAAATTTTTCAGGAGACTAGAAGGAAATCAATTGAGATATCTTGACAAGAGTGTATTGGAAGCACTCATCAATCTGAGAACAATGTGAGTATCAATTATATTTTTTCATATTCGACAGAGATAGTCGCCGTGAGTGGTCTCTGATTTAATATACAGGGTGTTGATTAAGGATGTAACATAAATTCAACAGACGATTCTTTAGGTAATTTTAAGACGAAATGTTCATATAAACATGGGTCCGCAAATCCTTCGTTCTCAAGTTACAGGGTGTTGAAATAAAAATAAAAAAAAACATTCGTGAATATCTTAAATATCTTTTACCTAATTTTGTTGTAATTTGGCAATGGTATTTATAACATTAAGGAGCTAATTTAGCCCGAACGTGATTCAATTTATTAAGTCCAGTGGCGTCTCGAGCCGGATTTGAACGAATATTTGTGACTTAAAAATGTACGCCACTGACTTTTGTGCAATTTTCATCATTTCTATGGAGTGAGCAATTAGAAATACAACTTTTTTTTCTCCTAATTTTTTTTCGTATCTTGCTTAGTTTTTCAGAAAAAAAAAGTCGACCTAATTGCATATCCCTGGACCTCACAAATAATAATATGGGAAATTGAATGTTTCTTTTGAAAATTATTAGTTTTACAATTTTTCACTACTAATTATGTAACAATAACAACAAATATTAAATAACATTAACATCTAGACCAACGAATTGCACTAAATTAAGTCTTGGAAACGGCCTCCTTCGGCTTCAATACAACCGTCTAGCCGCCGCATCATTGAATTTCGCACTCTTCTGAAAATACCTAGCATACTTTTTATTGTCGCATGAATTAACGATTTCATTCCATAAATCCTCTTCACTTTGAATAGCAGTTTTGTATACCAACGCTTCAAGGTGTCCCCAGAGAAAATAATCTAAGGGATTCATTTCGGGCGAGCGAGGGGGCCATGGGTGTGGGCCTGCTCTCCCAATCCAGCAATTATGGTAGTTTTCATCCAAAAATTGCCGTGCCACTACACTAAAGTGTGGTGGAGCACCATCGTGCATGTACCACGTACGGAATCTTTCCATAGTTGGAATTTCTTCTAAAAGTCCAGATGAAACAAATTCTAAAAACCTTCGCTTAGAAAAAACTAGTCTTACAGGAAAATCTTGTGCAATAGAGCTTGCATGTGATAGGGATATAGCTGCTGGGCTCTTAAAATCTGCCACACTGTGACATGGGTGATATTCAGTTCTTCAGCTATTTTCCTAGTACTGGTCTGAGGATTCACTTCAATCTCATTTAAAACAGATTCTTCAATTTGAACTGTTCGTATCGTTGCAGGCCTCCCAATGACAACCGTCGATCTTTTGAAGCTGCCTGTTTCAGAAAGTCGTGCATGGAGACGTACAAAAGTTTTTCTATTAGGCACTACACGCTGAGGAAATCTTTCATGGTGAATGCGTCTTGCAGCATTCGAGTTTCCGTGAGCCATTCCATAACAGAAATACATATCTACCATTTCAATGTAAGTAAACTGAACCATATTTTACAGAAATGGTTCGAAAAATAACCACTAAACTCACTTTTTATAACAATTATGAATTAAAAGCTTATAAAGTTGACAACAACTGTCAATTTTCTAAATGCTGGCATGTACGATAGTCTCAGAAAGGGCCCCACCCATTTATATCAGAAAGAAGTCAAGGAAACTTTCAAAAATATTCATTGTGTCACGGATGAAAATGAAAAATTCCGATCGTTAGTCATGAACCCACAACCACCGAAATTGTATTCATTGGTTAAATTACACAAAGATAACATACACAGTAACCCACTGGTAAGAAGTTTCCTGTATTGGTATAGATATGTGGATGATATTCTGGTATGTTTCACGGGAACGAACAGACAGTCGACAAACTTTTTGAAGTTCATAAATTCTCTCCACCCATCTGTCACTTTCATAGTGGAGATGGAACAGGACGAATCTATACATTTCCTGGATTTGATAATAGCGAAAGTTAACAACAAACATGATTTTTCAATTTATTGTAAACCAGCACATACAGATATTATCATTCATAATTCGTTCACCCACCCATATCAGCATAAGGTAGCAGCTTTCAACAGTATGATCCACAGACTGATAAATGTACCTTTGTCAGAAGCGAATTTCAATAAAGAACTGAATATAATAAAGCAAATAGCCGTCAACAATGATTATGATAGTGGCATGATACATTATCTATTATCAAAGAAGTTATACAGTCAAGCTTTGAAAGAAGTTTACCCAATTCGAAGAGAAGAGGATAAAAGCTTTAGAACCTTAACCTACTTAGGCCAACCCACTACAAATATTTCGGATTTTTTGCACAGCAAAGGTGTAAGTAAATACTGCTTTCAAAACCAACAACAACTTGGGCATGCACATTAAAAATAACAAAGATAAAAGTTCAGTTTCAGAAAAATCAGGAGTGTATAAATTATCGTGTGGGTCATGTCCGATGTTTTATATAGGTCAAACTGGAGGAACGTTCAAAACCCGCATAAAGGAACACAAATATAGTTTTCAGAACGGAAAAATAAATTTCACATATGCCAGTCATCTAATTTCAGAGGGACATGAGTTCGACCATGAATACAAACCCCTCCATTTCCAGAAGAAAGGTTTGAAACTTAACCTGTTGGAGAGTATGGAAAAAAACAAATTCAAAAAGTCTCACCACCTCATGAACGATCAAACTGAATTGAATAATTCGCCTTTATTGAATTTGTTCACACGCAGGTAATAATAGTTAGGTATATTTACATGTAGACTTTCGAAAAATGTATTGATACCTGACTTTTGCAGGTATATTTTTTCAGGTAGATTTATTACTTAGGTAGACGAATAGGTACTAGGTTATAGTATATAAGGTGTATTTTAGAAGTAACTTTAGTTATGCTTGGAGAAGCTATTGTATAGCGATACACGTGTCGCGGTTTTTGTAAAACCCTTATAGTGAAAATCATAGAATAAACTCTATTTATTAGTTTTTTAACTGTCAAGTTGTTTATAAAATGCTGAAATCGTTTTCCAAGGCAACCCTTGATTATTATTTATGGTATTTTCAGAAGAGTGCGAAATTCAATGAAGCAGCGGCTAGACGGTTGTATTGAAGCCGAAAGAGGCCATTTCCAACACTTAATTTAGTGCAATTTGTTAGTCTAGATGTTAGTCTAAATGATAAAAATTGCACAAAAGTCAGTGGCGTACATTTTCAAGTCAAAAATATTCGTTCAAATCCCACTCGAGACGCCACTGCACTTGATGGATTGAATAACGTTCGGGCTGAATTAGCTCTTTAATGTTATGAATACAATTGCCAAATTAAAAAAAATAGGTAAAGGATATTTAGGATATTTACGAATACCTTTTTTCTTTATTTTAACACCCTGTATCTTGAGAAAGAAGGATTTGCGGATCCATGTTCATACGAATATTTCATCTTAAAATTACCTAAAGAATCGTCTGTTGAATTTATGGTACATACTTGATTAACACCCTGTATACTCGTAATAGGTTGATGAATGTTTACTATTGTCAACGACATGAGCGCTATAAAACGCTCTGTCGCTGGAAAAAAAATTTTCGCTGCAAACTCTGCAATAAGCAGCCTGTAATATAAGTGAAGTAGCACAAATCGTTCACGGTGGTACCAGAAGTTACCAGCCCAACGAAGAAAACACAAAAGTTTTGGAAAAAAAAGTATTAATTCTTCATCATGATCTTCTTGCAGCTCTTTACACTTTTCCCAGCGACGTTTAATAAGTTCGACACGGTTTTCATAATGAGAACTGTCTTGTTCCTCAAAGTAGCCATTAACTGCCAACATCAGTTCCTTATCGACAACTGAGCCATTTTGTCAAGTTTGGGATTAGAAAACGATCCGAAGGGGGCTAATTCTGGTTAATTCAAACAATTCAAACTTTAATTCGTTGATTTTGATCATTGTGATAATGGATGAAAAAACACGTTGTCTGTTGAAGACTAATAGGGCTTATCTACTATCAGTGCAGATTGTTATGTGTTTGCCACGGTATTTATGTTAATTTTTTTTTGGCAATTGGGATACCAGCCAGTTCTATTTGAACCGCGCTGGAATTTTTTCCCATTCCCCACTTAATCCTCAGGCTTAGTGATCTGGAGTACACTCCACATCCTGAGCCTTCTTTGGTTTTTGAGCCGTCTGTATATATGCGTATTGCATTTGAACTTCATGAACTGAGGGTTCTCCTGAGTTCATGAAGAACATGATGAATTCCACTCGTGCAGGTAAATCGCGAGGTTTCAGATTTTGTTTCTTAAAAATATTCTCAGAATATTTTTATTGGGTCTGTGTAGACTACGACATACACGTCAATTATATCGCATTAAATTTTGACATATTTGTTGTAACTTCATTTGCTTTCAAAGCTTGCTGTGTTTGGTACTGCCTCGAATGATTTACATTTCAAATATTTTCCAAAATCGAATATATCTTGCCAGGGGTGTATTTTAGGTATTGAACATTCTCCGTGAATTTGATATCTTTTTTTTCGTTGTATACAAAAATAATAGAATAGTGTATGGTTTCCATTTGAAAAAATCGTGTTTCATCATTTTTCTCGATGTTAGGTTTTAGGTGGAAATTTCGACCACCCTGTAAATTATTTTCGAAAATTCGATGGACCTGTTCCATGACTTCATGCTTAAGGTGTGATTCTGTGAAATTTCACATTTTCAACTGTTACTGTCTATGAGTCATGATTTTTTCGAAGTGGTGCTGTAACTTAAATTTTTCAGAAAAAAATTAATATCTCGAAAACTAACAAATTTGGCTATTGGCATTATTGTACAAAGTGGACCTAAAATATGCTAAGAAATTCAAAAATGTAATAAAATACAGGGTGTTCTTTTTGAAATAAGGAAGTTGCCCTCAACTTCCGGTATAACGGAAAGAAACCGGAAGTTGAAAATATTTTTGTTGAGAACGCCATTTTGTAAAACCCACTCCAACAAAATTTCAAGATTTTATTTGAATCGTTCTCCATATAATCCTAACGAACGCTCGCCCTGTATACGATGTACCGCACTTTTTAAAATGCCTACTAAGTATGCTTGCTCATGCACCTTCAGTCGACAATCATTCAGTACCGCTTTGTGAAGTTTCTTCAACGTTTCTGAAGTCGTCACCTCATTTGATCGACCACTGCGATGCTCGTATGGCCCCTTTTGAACCCTGCTACCCAATTTTTTACTGTCGTAAATGAAGGTTTTTTTGGTCAAAATTCAGCAGCTTTGGAACGAACTTTGCTGCCACACGCTTCAGGCCCAAAATTTACGAAAAAATCAACCTAAATGCCAACATCCTCATCAACTTCGCTAATAGTGATTCAACGACGTGCTTGTTGATGTGTTTGGGCGTCCAAAGCGAGCGTCGTCATTCACATCTTATGTGAAAAGCTTGTACCCCTGTAAACATTTTTCTGAGTCAGAGTACAATCACCGTATGCCACTGTCAACATCTCAAGTGTTTCTTAGCACTTAATTCCGTTTTTCACACGAAATTTGAAGCAAATTCTCCGATCCATTCTCTTCGATAGCATAAAATCGCTGAACACACAAATTACTTCTAAACTTTATGCCTCTCACCAACAAACTAAACGTGCTGAACAGCTGGAACTGTGAACATATGTACGAGTTGAGTCTACCAACATGAAAAATGAGAAACCGGTAATCGAGTAAACAAAGCCCGCTTAATTTGAACTTCTACCTTATTTTTTGAACGGCCCAATTGAAATTTAACATATTTTTACATAGACTATAATAGATTTCACCCAAAACATCACAATTTATGCAGTTGTGGAAATTTTCATTCAGAAGCTACTATTGTTTTTGTTTCAGATACTTTGATAGATTTGAAATGTGCTCATCGGCCCAACATGTACGAAATTGTTATCCCAAGGGAGATGGTATCTCTAGTCAAGAACATATGTTAGCTAATCCAATATTGAGAACTTGGTGAGTGACATTCAAGAATAATTAATGATGATAGATTCAATTTGAATTGTAGGATAGGTTTCTTTGAAATTAATGGCTTTTTTCATTTCTTTAGAAGATTCCCAGATACTTTTCATAAGGTCCGTCACGCTGGAACCCGCTTTGAATAAAATCCAACTTTTTTAGCCTATTTCACCTACAAACGATACTAATAAATGTAGTAATGTTATTTTTTTTGTAGTCTTATCGGGTACTGAGAAAGCAGTATTGATATTATTCTAACAAAAAGTTCTGAAATAGGTTCTTAATGGGTTGTAGTTTATTGTAGTAACAACACAACATCAATTTATTTTATATTCTTTTGAAGTATAGCTAAAAAGCTATGATAATAAGACTTCAAATCATGAAATAACAGTTGTCCTCAAACTACAAACGATGGGGTTGATTGTAGCTGAAATCAGATGTTTGCAGTTACCATTAAACACATCAAAAATGACTGAAATAAAATCGACAACATATGTAACCTGAAATCTGAAGTAAAAACATTTCAACATCTAACCTGACTTCCGAATTTTAAAACGAACTCATGTTAGATGTTCAGGATTAAGAATTATTTCTAACCTCAAAGTAACAAAAGACAATAGAGAGGCATGGTCTTACATAGACCAATCCAGCGACCTGTCAAAACGAATGCAATATGGCGGCGTAGGGCAAACATTGTATTTTATGATATGCGACCATAGTAGTTTTTGTTTCTTTTTGTGATTTTCTGTGCATATTTTGGTTGTGTTTTTGAATTTTGATTAATAATTAGTGCTTTAACTGAAGGGAAATGCCCATTACGTGCATTGTGGTTGGTTGTTGATCTCGTAACAACAGGGATAAAGTCAGGTTTTACTCTGTTCCTACAGTTTTAAAACACAAGTTTATGAGTTATCCAGAAAGCGAAGAGCCCTATGGTTAGCTGCAATCAAGCGAGATGATCTCATAGATTCGAAGATCAACAATCAAAAAGTTTGCAGCAGATATTTTATAACAAGTGAGTCTATGAATACTTCAGATTTCCTCTAAAAACTATTTTGCGATAAGTGAAAACTACTTGATAATATGCATAATATTTTCAGGCAAACCTGCTTCTTTAGAGCAGGGATCTCCAAACTGCGGCCCGCGGGCCAAATCCGGCCCGCCAGTGTCATCAATCCGGCCCGCGACAGCCAATGATTTACTGTCATCAATCTGGCTCGCGACAGCCAATGATTACCTAATTGTTGTTACTATTGCTGTGTAAGTTGAATAAAAAAACACAGAATGATAATTACTCGGGTTTATTCACTTGCAAGGTAAAACTAAACGACAGAAATGATGACAAAGGAAACTTAACTTGGGTATCTGAGTTCAAGCATATTAATAACTAACAAATAATTGAAATGAATTACAGTAAAACAAAAGCACTAATGAGATTCATGTAATTGTGATTTTCCACCGACAATACTTTGTAGTTGTGGATCAATTTTACTTGTACCAATTATCAAAAGAGATTTAAGATGCTCATCAATTAAATGAGATCTGTAAACATTCTTTGTGTACTTCATCTTGGAAAACGTTTTCTCACACAAGTAAGAAGTACCAAAAACAGAAAACAACCCACGGGCAGATTTATGCAAATTATCAAATTGTTCCAGTGGAAGACTCTTATAAAATTCCAACAAAGATGAATTTTGATATTTGTTCTTAAGCATATCACTGCACCGTAAATCAATAATTTTCATTTGGACTTCCGGAGCCAGGGTTTCAATGTCAGAATCAAAAGGATTTTGAAAAAGCTCAATTTCATTCGCAATGACATCAAAATCTGAAAACGAGTATCAAAATTCATCTTCAAAGCACTCAAAGTTTCAATTGCCAAAATTCAGGGGAAATTCAGTCTCTGTAGTGTGGCTGAATATATCACATTTGTGAAACATTTTTTACGTAATTGCGATTGAAATAGTATTATTTTCTGCCTGAAGGATTTGATATTGGTGTATAAATCAGGGAGAAGCTGATTTTCTCCTTGCAATCTCAAATTTAGTTCGTTCATATGATTTGTCAAATCGACATAGAAGGCTAAATTCCATATCCATTCACTATTTTCTAAATCGGCAAAAATGTCTCCATCGAAGGTTCTTTTTATTAATGGCATTTTCAACTCCCTTAAAAATATCTGCCCCAGTTGTCGTGCCGTGAATACCATCAATATCAAGAAGTTTTTCATACACTTCATAGCTTTTATCTACTCCGCGAATAAAAATCAACACCTGAGCAGTATCTGACACATCCGTTGACTCATCCAATGCTAGAGAAAACCACTCATGATGTCCATTTTTGTCAGACAGTTGAGATGATATATTTTCTGCGATGTCTTGCACCCTCCGAGCCACGGTGTTTGCTGACGAACTGACACTTTTAAATAAATTTACCTTTTCGGGGCATATTTCTTCGGCTACTGCAATCAAGCATTCTTTTATCATTCCTCCATCGGTGAATGGTTTGCCACGTTTTCCGATTTCAAGAGCCACACGAAAGCTGGCGCGAGTTGCAGACTCTTGTTCAGTATTCGCTTTGGTAAACAAAGATTGCTGCGATTTGAGTCCGCGTTTCAAAGTTTCAAATTTATCCTCCCTGTATACTTGGAGTAACTTTGAAGATGTTTCGATACATAGTGTCGTTTAATGTTATAGTCTTTGAGAATGGCTATGGTTTTTTCATTACAAATTAAACATAGCGCCTTATTACTGGACTCAATCACAAAATACTGAAAGTTCCATTTTTCTTGGAACGTTCTGCATTCACTGTCGATTTTTCGCTTCTTTTCCATACTTACAAATCACACATAAAAACAATAAGTCAAATCAAAATACTTTTATTGACAGGTGTTACTTTATTTCACGATAGACAGTTTCGCTTCCTTCGCCTTTCCTACGCAGACTAACTCGCAGTTGCGCCGCTAGCCTTTTTATATGCAATTATTACTGCCATCTCGAGGTGATTGGAATACACTAGCTAGAACCAGAACTTTCTAGAACCAACGCGGTAATTCCAAATATTTATTTACGCCTAATGCCACCTAGCGGGTAGCTGAAAAAGATAGTACATAGTACCACTACTCGCCACTAGATATCGTTAAGTTTCACAATACACAATAATAATTGAAATGCAAAAAAAGCGTAAGTTTGCTTAGGTCACGCACTTTGAGACTATCCTAGTCTAGAAATATAGTTAAGGGCAGAAATTGGCCCTTGGAACAAACTGAAAAAAATCATTATGGCCCAAAGGCTTCAAAGTTTGGAGACCCCTGCTTTAGAGGATGGAACCAATCCTGACTGGGTTCCTTTGCAGAACATGGGACATTCAGCTCAGTATGTTCGAAAAACTTATAAAGATGTTGAAAGAAAAGCGAGGTTGGATAAAAGAAAATTATCTCAAGTAAGTGGTGTTGTTTCAGGTGAAATACTTATGTATTAACATGATTTTGAAATGTTTTTGTTGACAGAATGAACTCCAGTCTTATATGGATATTGACTTTGATAATGATGAACCTAGAGATGGACAAGAAACAGGCATTTTAACACCGACTGATTTAAAAATGGAAGACCTGGCTCTAAAATTTGAACAACTGACTGAAAAGACTATATCATAAATTGTATATTGAGTGTTGTAATATCAAAACTCTTATTATATTCTCAATAAATTTATTAATTAAAAGTCGATATTCGTGGTACACAGAACATTTATTATATAAAAACATAGACAATAAACAAATCTCAAGAGAACTCAAAATAGAGCTTTCCATACAAAACAAGTTCAACAATTCAAAATATTTTCAATTGACTCTGCCGTTACTTGATGAAAATCCATAGTAATTGTAAACTCACAATCCATTTCATGTACTGGTACAATTGGGAACATCTGTGTCATAGATGACATTGGCTACACAGCTTCTATATCTGTGCATGACATTGTCGCTTTCTTGGTATTTGCATAATTAGCAGGTATTTGTAATCACGTTGGCGCCAACGTAATTACAAACTTCACTGTTTCCGGCCATAAAAGTACAGTGAGCTGTACATATGCTTCCATATTTTGCTATGACGCACCAAACATCTAAAGGTTTCGCATTTGCTTTCTGTGAATTCTTGACCTGAAAATAAGTTATTAAGATTAGTATCTACTGTAAGAATAACTCTGGGACATTCAAATGAATATTGAATCATTCTCTTGATCAACAAAAAAGACAATAAATATAACCATTCACAGGCATAGCTGATCGTGGATACACACAGTTTCACGTGTATTGTTTCTTAGATGAATTGACTATACCATCAGAAAGTTAGCATACTGCCAGCTTAGAAAAACTCACCTGCCAACTAAAATGTATAAATTGTTCTCAATCTTTGTTCCCACCTTCACAACGAAGCCAGATTCGAAATATTTATACGATTCCAAACTTTTATATGCCTTCATCTTCACATGTGAATAAAAGCTGTGGGTAAAAACCAAATACGAAGCAATATGCATAATACGTAAGTAACACCATCAATTGAATAATCCAGATCAGAAACATTCAATGAGAAAGGGTCTAAACCATTGACCAATCTCAACTTCATTATATATCTGTAACACAACGATAAAAATGTAAACGCATTATGGTGTATTTTTTCGAACATACCGTTTAGCAACGTCTGTGCTGTTCAGCAATAGTGATTTCAAGTATTCACTTTCCATTTTGATCGAATTTAAACACCACAAAAGCTCCAAAAATGTGTAAAAACACTGTACAATAGCGAACGACACCAAAACCAATGATGCTCTTATGACAATAATCAGATTGTTTGCCCTACGCCGCCATTTTGGGTCACGTGGTTTGGATTGCTCTATCGAAGGCAGCATAACTTTGTTTACGGGAAGTAAGTATGACCATAATGGTAACTATAGTGAAACCAATAATGATTGAGTAAGCAGTAGAGTTGTAGGTTGTGGCAAATTATAGATAATACACAATACTGGTACGATTAAAAGTTATTATTTATGACAAAAATCAGTATTGAGCTTGTAATGAGTAATACTTATACATTTACCGATTACTGATCAGTTAATTAATTAATTATTTTCTGTATAGTGTTAGATATTTATTACAACTAGTGGCAACGCTGTACGCAACGATATTTCTGTCTTTGTCACTTTACCGTAACTTCCATCTCATCGTTGCAGTCCTCACTAATGTACTTGCAGCCATGAGCGTATCATTGGTTTGTGAATTATACAGCGTGAATTGTACGTTTTACAGTTAAGTTAGTNCAACAGTGACGAATCTGAGGTTGAAGATTAGACGAAAATTTGTACATTTACATTTATATTATATTCTATTATCAAAAATTTGTAATTTATATTTTCTAGTAGCCCTGACGATGAGTTTAAGTTACTCGAAAGCTTGAGAATAGTTATAAAGGGTTCACTTATCAATTGCTGCAACCCAGTAGTGAAAAATGAAATGAATATTTGAACTAATTGTAATAAGAATTTTTCTTTCATTCTTAACCCTCTCAAAAATTAATAAGCACGCCCCCGATTTGCTGTCAACTGGGCTTACTTCTACTCTCAATCATTATTGGTTTTAGTATACAAATATCTAATTTCAGCCACAATCAACTCCATCGTTTGTAGTTTGAGGAAAATTGTTATTTCATGATTTGAAGTTTTCTTATCGTAGTTTTTTTGCTATACTTCAAAAGAATATAAAATAAATTGATGTTGTGTTGTTACTACAGTAAACTACAATCAATTAAGAACCTATTTCAAAACTTTTTAGCGCATTATTACTTGTATTTCGTAGTTTGAATAAAATCAATAGTGCGTACTCAGTAACCGATAAGACTACAAAAAAAAGAACATCAGTACATTTATTAGTATCGTTTGTAGGTAAAGTAGGCTAAAAAAGATAGATTTTATTCAAAGCGGGTTCCAGCGTGACGGAGCTTTTTTCATAGGGATGGAGAAGTAAAAAACGAAAACCTTCTCCCAGAAAAAGATTTAGTTTTCAACTAGCTAAGTCAAATCCATATGTGTGTGCGATTACAAACCGCAAGACCCTGTTATTTTGGAACTCATGAACCGAAAAATAAAAATTTCAAATTATATTACTTTTGAACAAACAAAACGCGATTTCTCTCTTAGGCCCGGAACATGTTTTTTGTATTTCAAATTTCAAAGAAATAAAAAGCCACGGCGGTGTATTCTTGGCATTTAAACTATCTTTATCACAATTAATGAATTAGAAAATGATGTGTTCACTCATATACTAACGATACCAGCTTTATTTTCCTTTTACCTCAAAGAATTTAAAAAACAACTGTTATATATCATTATAATTTCATAAATGAGAACAAATTGATTGTTATTGCCATTAGTCTAATGAAGAAAATTGTCACGCCTTGATAATATCAAAATTAACAACCTTAACTTGCTTCGAAAAGTTCGGGTGATTTTGAGTAATTATCTGTCTCGTGGGGTACTATTCATATTTCGGGAATAACAAATAATAAAAAACATTTTTTAATGAAAACGGCTTTATTGTTTTCCGAAATATTCCCTTTGATGATCAGTACACTTCGTTCAAACCATTCCTCTTGAGACACCTCCAAAACATGGTTTTTCGGAAACAAGAAGAAGTCTTTGGGTGGCAAATCAGGACTGTACGAAGGATGAGTCATCAATTCGATGTTGTGACTGTTAAAAATTCACCCGTTTGACAAAATGTGTGAGAGCTCGCATTGTCATGATGGATAATGATTCGTCGGTTAGTTTTACGAATTTCTCCGAAGAATTTCGGAGCATGCTTGAAGAAGCTATTGTATAGCGAAACACGTGTCGCGGTTTTTGTAAAACCCTTATAGTGAAAATCATAGAATAAACTCTATTTATTAGTTTTTTTAATATGGATTTTCATCAAGTATCGGCCAGTTCTATTCAATTTTTGTCAAAGTACTTTTGAATCACCCTGTACATATACAATTTTGAATGGTTGAGACCTGGATTCAATTTTGATATCACGTTTTAATTGTTCATAAATTGGAAAGCAGCTATAATAGCTGAACCTCGCCCATTCATCATATTATGTTTCATCATATCTTTCTACTGTTTATTTTTATTACGATGAATAAAGACCTGTTATAAATTGGCAATTCTACCATTCAACCAGAAATATTACCAACCATAATCATTTTCAGTGATTTTTTTTTTCAGTGTTTGGGTAATGGGTGTGATAGGCTGTACAGGAAACATAATAGTTTTGCTGGGACGTCATTTTGCCCCTACCAACAACGTCGTGCATTCCTTGTATCTGAAGAATTTAGCTCTTTCGGATTTATTGATGGGAGTGTACTTATTCATAATAGCATCTGAAGATCAATACTACAGAGGTGTATACCTCAGTTATCAGTACATATGGAGACATAGTTATATATGCAAGTTATGTGGTGAGTATCAATAATGAAATGAATGAATGTATAGTATGCAAGCGCCGCTTGTAGCCATAGATGATGAAACTTACCCTCTTTTACCTCATTTGATGAAACCCTCCGCCCCTTTTTACCCCCACTGGGGGTAAGGATGCAGCAAACAATTTCACAATTCCAATGTGAGGTTAAACGGGTATTTGGCAGCATTTCAGCAAAATGGCGCATTCTGAATTAATGTATAGAAATGTTACACTTGCTGATTATACAGTGCATTCTATTCAAAACGAGCCATCCTGAATAACTTTTGGTACAATGATTTTGAGGAAAAATAAAAAAACACTTCAACAATAGTATACAGGAGGATACATTTTGAAATATTCACATTTGATGTTACTTCCACTATCGCACCCTCAGAGCATGTCACTAATTGTTTTAAATAGATCACCTTATATTGTTTCGCATTATCAGATGCTTCATGATGAGCAGATTTCAACAAAGTATAAGACATGTGGTCTGAAGCTTATGGTTGGAGAGCTACAAATTATTGGAGTTGAGAACGAGCCACCCTGATTACCTTTTAAAACAATGGTTTGCAGGAAAAATAAAAAAGCAGGTCAACAATTATACAGGGTGTTCCTTAAACACATGCTAATATTTAAGGAGGTAATTCTTAGACCCATTTTGAGAAAAAACTTCCAATGGACGTATGTCCTAAACGCCTTAACTTTTGAGATACAGGGTGGCAAAGTTTTCAAAAATAATCAGTTTTTTAATAATAACTGAGATAATTTTGTAGACATCTTTGGCATATTTGGTACATATGTTCCATGCCTCAAGGCGCATTTTCTGATGTACACAAATTTGTATTTTTTCAAACAGTGGCATCCCTACGGGTTTCGCATTGAATATTTTTGGGGAAAAAGTACTNTTAGATCCTCAATTATTTTGCAACAAATCTGATCTCTTAGTTTGCTTTCAGTCGATGCACGATACCGCATTAGATTTTTAAGGAATTTATCCTTATGTAAAGCGATTTTTAATTTTTTGAGCGAAAACCATGCGTCGGACAAAGAAAATCCAACAGATCAAATGTGCTCAAAAATGTATGGAGATTTCAAAAATAATTTTTATTCAAGATAAAGCAGTGGCGTAGTATTTTTTCGCCAATAATATACATTTCAAAACTCGTACGTACGCCACTGGCAGAGAAAATTAAGAAAATTGTTCATCAGAAAATGCGCCTTGAGACATGGAACATATGTACCAAATATGCCAAAGATGTCTACAAAATTATCTCAGTTATTATTAAAAAACTGATTATTTTTGAAAACTTTGCCACCCTGTATCTCAAAAGTTAAGGCGTTTAGGACATACGTCCATAGGAAGTTTTTTCCTTAAAATGGGTCTAAGAATTACCTCATCAAATATTAGCATGTGTTTAAGGAACACCCTGTATAGGAGGCCACATTTTGAAATATTCGTTCTAGAGACAAATATGGAAGCAATAAATTAGAATAAGAGATTTTTTTTTAATTAGTTGAAACCGATCGGCCTATTTTTAATTTTCCACGTTTTTGCTACCTTGAAACTGCTTTTCTTTGGAATGAAAAGTGTTTTAAATTTGTTGCTCACCAGAAGGGTACTCAAATACAACTTGAGTATCAGCAACAAAATAGTTGAAACTGATCGGCCGATTTTATTTTTTTTTCCATTTTCCACGTTCTTGCTATCTTGAAAGTGGTTTTCCTTAGAATAAAAAGTGTTTCAAATTTGTTGCTCACCAGGAGTATACTCAAATACATCTTGAGTATCAGCAACAAAATAGTTGAAACCGATTTGAGTCCCCTCCTGATGAGCAATAAATTTAAAATACTTTTCATTCGAAAGAAAAACAGTTTCAAGGTAACAAGAATGAGGAAACTGAAAAAAAAATTTGAAATCGGCCGATCGGTTTCAAATATTAGTTGCTGATACTCAAGGTGTATTTGAGGATACTCCTGGTAAGCAACAAATTTGAAACACTTTTTATTCTGAGGAAAACCAGTTTCAAGATAGCAAGAACGTGGAAAATAAAAAAAAAATTGAAAATCGGCCGATCGGTTTCAACTGTTTTGTTGCTGTTACTCAAGGTGTATTTAAGTTTACTTTCGGTGAGCAACAAATTTAGAACATCTTTAATTACAGGAAAAAACAGTTTCGAAGTAGCAAGATCATAAAAAAAAAATTTAAAAATTACTAAAAAATTTTTCGCTGTATCCAAGGTTTAGCAACTGAATATTCTGTGAAGATCAAAGGGAAAGTTTATAATTTATTGAGTTACGTTGCTACCTTGAAATCACGATAGCATTATTTGCGATTTCTAGGGATCGGCACGAGCAACAAAATCGTTGTTTTGGCAACTAATTAGCAACTATTCAGATACAAATTGATGTATCTTATTTGCAATTTTGCTGGATTCGCCTTGCTAGCTTGATGAGGCTTCAAATTTGTACTTATGAAGGATCCTGTAAACCGACGTGCCCCATTAGTGCCCCATTAGTCCGACGTGCCCCAAAACTGCAGTACAAATAGCTTCATCGTCGACAACTTCTGCTGAACGGTTATGCTTTTCATTGTTAACAGATCCAGTTTCCATAAATTTGTTCAATAATTCCGAAACGTATTGGTGTCGTACATTTCTTCCTGGATGATTATCATTGAACATACGGTCAGCAGCTCTAGCAATATTCCATTCTGGTAGTACAAATTCACTATTTCAATCTGTTTTCGAAGCGTATAAACCATTGCTTCTCAAGAATTCACAATAACAGAAACAGCAATTGTAACTTCACCTCGTAGGTTATCATCATTGTAGAATGAGACGAATACAAAATGAAGAGAATATCGAATTCAAACTTAACTAGGCAAAATAAGACTTTTTTGAAGAATACTTCACAAAAACACCTATGAAACCTAGGTAACAGATTGTGCAGGAATTCATTCAAGGTGGCTCGTTTTCAACTCAACAAATTTTTAGCTTCCAAACTATGAGCTTTAGACCATAATGTATTCTATTTTGTTGAAATCTGTTCATTATGGAACATCTGATAATGCAAAACAATTGATCTATTTGAAAAAAAAATGAGGTATGAGGTCGTTTTTTTATTTTTCCTGAAAATCATTATAATAATAATAATAATAATTTGTAGCCCCCGAACCATAACTCTTCAGACCATATGTTTTATACTTTGTTGGAATCTGCTCATCGTGGAGCATCTTATAATGCGAAACAATATAGGGTGATCCATTAAAAAAAATTGGTGACATGCTCTGGGGGTGCGATAGGGAAAGTAACATCAAATGTGAATATGTCAAAATGTGTCCCCCTGTATACTATTGTTGACTTGTTTTTTTATTTTTCCTGAAAATCATTGTACCAAAAGTTACTCAGGGTGGCTCGTTTTCAACTCAAATAATTTGTAGCTCCCGAACCATAAGCTTCAGACCATATGTTTTATACTTTGTTGGAATCTGCTCATCGTGGAGCATCTTATAATGCGAAACAATATAGGGTGATCCATTTAAAAAAAAGTGATATGCTCTGGCGGTGCGATAAGGAAAGTAACATCAAATGTGAATATGTCAAAATGTGTCGCCCTGTATACTACCCTGTTTACTATGGTTGACGTATTTTTTATTTTTCCTGCAAATAACTGTACCAAAAGTTATTCAGGGTGGTTTCTTTTAAATGGAATGCACTGTATAGTTAAATGTATTTGTCTGCTTGATTACCTATTAAAATCAATGAATATTGTTCTAGAAATCATGATCAACATTCTGTATCTGGTAATGAATTATTAAATTATTATTACATTAAGGACTCCGCAAAATCTTTATGGAATTTGGTTCTCGGTGAATTTTTTTGAATTTTTGATATGATGTAGTCCATGTAATCCTCAACCAATGTTACTAATGCGCCAATCCCAAAAAATTTACAGTTTGTTGCTAGGAGTCGTTAAAATCACCCCTTTCTCAGAATGGACTATTCATTTTCAAAACCGGGAACGACTTTTTTCACCTTTTTCATTGTAGATAATGTTGCATATGATTATGCTCTTTTATAAAAAAAATTCTTCACACCCCTCTTCCCCCCACCTATTATGAAACACATGCATCAGATACCATCCACGTAGGCAACAGTGTCATTTACTAAGTCACCAATACAACACACGACAAACACAACATTATGTCATTTCTTTTATGTCTAAAACAACTACCCAAAGATTCGATTTGAAAGGGTTATATTTTTAGGAGTGATTAATTTTTGGGAAAGAAAGTTTTTGGCTTTCTACTACTCCATCTGATACAAAAAAATGGATGAGATTCTTTGCATGATCTACACATCCATGATCTACACATTCAAATTGATTACTTCCTTCCTTTCTTTGGAAGATTTCCTCATCCCTTTTTTTTGTATTAAGATGGAGTAGTAGAAAGCCAAAAACTTTCTTACCCAAAGATCTTATTCTTACTTCACACCAAAGTTGTACAATAACATTCCTGAAAATATAAAACTAATTTTGAATATACACTCTTCCAAAAAACATCTGAAGAGATATTTACATGAATCAGGTAGAATATGTGAATTTGTTGCATCGCTGATTTCTATATATGTAAATCTTAGATTTATTACTGCTTGTGCTACACTATATCGTTGGTCTTAATATTAGTATACAAAAATTTTTATTATTCATGTTAACATCAATATTACACTGCATCGTTATATCTTATACTTGTACAAATAATCATAACAAATTAATGATTGAGTCATATTCCATATTGTGATTATTAATTCATATTACTAACCTTTACCGAGTACATTTATTCTAAATATCCTGTACTTTAAACTATTTTTTACTCAATTTTAATTATCGATTCAGATTACTAACCCTTCTCATATACCGGGTGTCCCACATTTTATGTGACAGGCAATATCTGGTTTGTTGAAGGAGATACACAAAAATGTTTCATACAAAAGT